ACATTTCTTCAATGTAAAATTTATTACGTTTTGTTGTTTGAGGTTTTATTTACTGCACGCTGAAAATGTATGCTTTGAGCTGCATATAAAAATTAAATTTTTCAGATTTTGAAAAATTCACTTATTCATGATTTGTAAAGGAAGATTTACTTGCTTCTGAGTTATTATACCTAGCCTCAGATGATCCAATTAACTTCTAAAACTCGAATTTTTCAGCCCCTCACATGCAATTTTTGTAGTCAATTACTCTTAACGCTGACGAACTATCAAGTATAGTAATTCCTGAAGAGTAATTGAGAAGTTTTGTCACCAAATTTGTTTCTCAAAAAATAGTTTTGAAGACTATTTACATTTCAAATTTGGTTAATTTATTAGAATACTCTTCTATTTATATATTTTGAACTAATGAATTGAGTCTGATTACAGCTAATGATATAAGTATTTTTTAAATTGAATCCTCGTAGAGAGTGTTTACTTTTCCATGATTTCAGACCTAACTGTGAGGAGAAAAAAGAAAAAAACGTGTTTATATCAAAGTTTTATTGCCTTGATCCGCAGTTATTTTCTTAAACAGTAATGAACTGCTAACAAATGATAAATAGTTTTCATGATAAATTTAGAACTCCCTACTTAATCATAATTCGATTTTTGAATTGTTTAACTAGCTGTCCTAATGTGCTGTGCACAAATGAATTTAAAATCATTCCTTGCCACTATTTAATATTTAGTTCCACAAATATTATACTATTATTTTTCTCTCAGAAAAATTGGACAGAAAATGCATAATTTGTTACGCTAATCACTAAAGTGTACTTCTAGTCATGATTTATGCTTACAAAAGTTCGATATATAGCTACAAACACGTCATATAACAGGGCATATCGATTTTGCTGTAGAAATATGCAGTAAAATTCACATAATTTGTAAAACAAATTTATTTAAATTTTGAACAGTATACTAATTTGGTATGCATAAACTGAATTAATTTAGTTTATGCATACCAAATTTATATTGTTAAAATAGATAAGTATTACTTCTGTACTACTACCGTTTGTGACATTTTATATCGCCTGAAAAGTATATTTAAAATAGCGGTACTAATTATTAATTATTATATGTTCGTTCGTTGATATCAAACACAAGTCTTTAATTAGCTGATTTTTAAAATTGTTTCCTAAATATTACAACATACTCTTTGTTTCATTGTTGCTGACGTTGGTATCTTAAATTATGTTAAATTAGTTTCTTAAGAATCAGGTCAAGTCATCATTGCAAATTAAGAGATAGATAGATAGTAACCAGTTTTAGTGCTTGGAAAATTGTCCGCTACTTTTTTCAAACTTCATATTCTGTTATCATATTGCTTGAAAAGTTATATGAATATGATTAATTATGAAGGATGAGCAAACTTTGTCGTCAATGTCGATTACTTTAGGGGACTATCAAATTTGCGACGCACAACTATGCTTCAAAAGCAGCATCGCTCGTACTACCGAAATATGTCGTCTGCAGCGATGAGCGTGGACGCTTTTCATGATACTTCACTTCACATTGGAGATGTGATATCACTGTATGCGGAAGAACGTGGACGATGTTCTGAAGATCGCTCGGAAGAACGTTGTACTCCAAGAATTGGTTTTTTATCAACACTTGGGTTTGGCTTTATCTACTTTTACACTTTTGTCTTCCAGGAGATTTGTCATGACATACAAATGCAGTTGTATAAGGTCACAAAATACTTCTTTCATAAACAGTGACTGTGTTACTCTATGATATATGCTGTAATATGAATATGACACACTTTATGTCATAATATGATAGATAATTTGATACACCATAGTATATAATGTAAAAATCTGGCGTGTTATACTACAAAATATAAAAATATGATATAATAATGTAATACAATATAGTGCATAGTAGAGTTCAATAAAATATACTATATTTTAATATAGTATAATATCATATGATGCAATATAATATGATACATTTAATATGTCATGGCACCGCTCATTCAACAAAATACTCAATTATACCAATTATGGGAAAGCTTGCATTATTGCGTGTAAAGTAATGAGCATTTACTGCGTAGGCTACATCAGTATAGTCTGTTTGTGATGACATGCTAAGATTCTGCTTTTTTCTTATAGCATTCAGAATGCAAATTGCTAGCAGTTTTAGAGAGAAGTTTAAGCAAGATTATGTTGAAATTGCATGGCGTGTATGTTAAGGAAAACGTTAGTTGAATAAAAAGTCAAGTATGCATCTTTTTGCACTTATGAGAGAGTATAGACATTGCTTTACAGTCTTGTTGACGACAGATGCATTGTTGAAATTGGTATTGGAACGCCGGATTCTCCGCCAAAAAAATTTCGAGGTACTTTGTTCTCGCAAATAAAAAAAAAAAAGCAGATTAATTCAAATTTGGTGCTGAAATAAAATAACAGCTGTTGTCAGACATGTTTTTTCTCTTTAACCAGAAAAATAGCGTTATGGTTGATCTCATTTGAGACTGCTTGTTTCGAATTTGTCCAGTCAACCGATACGCAGCACAAAAACAATTTTGGACTGAGCACAAAAAGTTTTTTATGGGTGAATCACTCTTTGAAGAAGAACTGCTAAAAAAACTGAAAGTTGCTGCGGATAAAGAGAAAGAACAGAATGACATGGAGTACAAAAAGATGCTAGGCGTGAGTGTAAGATATGGCGGCACAATTCAGGTTATTTATTTGATTCAAATATTTGTTGCAGAAATTTATATTTTGATCATCAATGTTGTCTGTGTTGCTCAACGTTCGATATCTTTGTTTTTGCATTTTAACATTTCTAAAATTCCGTTGTCTTTCTGAAGGTAAGTACCAGCTGCAACTAATTTCTCGAATGGATAGCGACAAAAAATTTAACCTAATTACTTGAAAAACATCATTACATTTTATTCCTGCTGTAATTCCTCTGACTTCTTATCTATTTTGACGTATAAAAAAAACAAGTAAGCAATACACTGCTTACTTGTTTTTTCACTTTATATTGTTGTATTATTTTTTGAAAATATTTTGTGAAAAAGATAAATTTATAGTTGCTGCATGTCAAGTCAGACAAGTACGTAACAGTACTAAAAAATTCACCGGCAAGACAGGAGCGAAATGCAATGAAAGTTTATCTGGACAAAAATGGCAATGAAGGTTCATGGTTTTACGTAGAACCTGTATACAAGCATTCCTTTCTTGGTGACAATGTAAGTGTACTCTGTATCTGTCTTTCTAATAATGCCTCAAAATTTATCGTCTTTGGTTTCAATTCCAAAAAAAAATGTCGAAGATTTTCTTAGTTCGCTTAATTTAAAAAAATTAAATAAGTCTATTATTACAGTAGTTCTCCACTACTTTCAAGTTCGTTTTTATTTCAGGTAAATGCTGGTGATAGAATCAGCTTAGTACCATATTCACATGGCCCTATGGCAAAATCGATTGGACATATTAAACCTCAGTTACATTTATCTCATTTCAAGTAATAAAGTTTTTTAAGCAAATAATTCACAAAATCTATTATGATTTTTATGCGTTAAATTATCGACTTGTTTTCTTATCATTAAAAAGAGTTTATTAAAAGTTAGTTTTCTTGTTTTCATTCTATTTGATAAAGCATTTTTACCATAATTTAGTAGATTAAGAACTCCTAAATAGTTATTTTGCTCTACTGTTTGAATTTATAAAATTAAAATTAATTGCTGTTGTTTGAATTTTATTTGCAGTTAATAAATTTCATGAATGTTATAAATAAGGTAAGGAGCACAGTGTGATGCACATAAAATGTGTAATTCCATATTCGATTAAAATTTTCTGATGACAAGAAAAATAATGTTATTAGTAGGCACCATGATAAAATTTTTAACTAATTTCAAAATACTTCATTAATAACGTACTTTAGCTTGCCCGATCATCCTAGTGGAAATGAAGTGAACTGCTTGAACGAACCTACTGGATGGCAAGTTTTGATGTTCTTGCAGTTTGATGAAAATGAAAAAACTGTAGTAAAATCTGTAAGTTATATTTTCTAAAAAATTACAAAAAAACTTGGATATTACGTTTATAAATGATTTTTTATATTAAATTTTGTTGTATAACTTAACAAAATTTACTTGGTGTTCCACATATATACAGAGTATACACTTTAACAGTTTCAGAGATATAATGAGAATTTCCTTACTATTAATGATAAGAACTGTAATTTGAATGATTGACAGGGCGATGTTGTGCGACTTTTTCATGCTGAACAACAAACATTTTTAACTTTGGATACTGAACCGAAGAAAAACAAAGATGTTGTATTTCTACGTTTAACAAATCGCCCATCTGCCGCAGATGCAACTTCTTCACGAGCTTTATGGGAAGTTCAGGTCATGTTAAGCCTGATCATTTCTGAGTATTGACATGATTTTATTTTGCCGTCAGTTGCAATGCTGCATAGTTATTACGTAATTCAATGCTTAGATCAGTAATATTTTCAGGTTGTTCAGACTGATTCATATCGTGGTGCACCAGCATCCTGGCTTGAAAAATTTCGTTTCAAGCATTTAGCCACCGATATGTATTTGAGCGTCGAACAAATAAATTCAGGTATTACTGAAAATATACCTACAAATAGTTTTTTGCTAATTAAAGTCCAAAATTTTTGGACAGCAAATGTTTAAGATGAGGAATACATCAAATCTGCATTAGTTTTGTTTTCAATAGCAATTTTAAATTGTGAAGTTGGGTAAACAGAAGACATACGTTCTCGTGTGCTACTCAAAGTATCATAAAGATAACACTATCATTTTAACTCTGAAAGCAGTCGCAGAAGCAGAATATGGTGCTGATAAAAAGTATTGTTTGGTACCGAAGTCATCTGACCAACCAGAAGTGGATGAATCCTTGCTTTTTGTTTTGGATCCATGCACTTTCACTAAAGTAAAATTTTATTATTTTTACATATTTTTTTTTGAACTTTATTATTTTTCAATTAAACAGTAGCATTGTCATTTTTTTCTGCTCACTAGCTTTTCTATTCCTATCAGTGAATAAATGTGTCACAACTCTTAAAAAAAGCAAGAGTAATATTTTTGTGCCAGCAAATTTAAAAAGACATTTGTTTAGAGAATGATAAAAGAGTTCAGTGCAAAAAATTTTGCATCAGCATTTAATTCAAATTTTTTCCCTTCGTACTTCTTGCAGTATTTTATTTTTTGGCTTTTTTAAGAACATAATAACATTTTGCTATGCATCTCAGTTGAGGAAGCAAAAAGTATGACAGCTTCAAATACAAAAATGCTTTCAAAGTTAGCAGCACTTTATAATTGGTTGAATCTTTATCCTTTCATGTAAAAAGATAATTTACTCAAATGCTTTATTATAATGTCACGAATTATCTTTATTTTGCACATATTAAATTATCAATTTAATGGACTCATTTTCTCGTTCACAGATGGATTCTCGGATCCCACAACGAACATATGTACGTCTATTGCATTTGTGTACAAATACTTGGATTCATACAACCGATCCTACTGAAAAACAAAATTTGTATCACTTTAAGTATGTTGCAGTTATCTTAGTCAAATAAATATTACTCAAAAATCGTCAAATAATGTAAGCTTTCATGTGCAATAATTTTTTTACACTCATGCTTTTATTTTCAGCAAAAATGAAAAAGGTTGGGTGAAAGTTATCAGTGAAGGTTTCAAAATTGACAAAGAAACATTCGCATTACTTCCTGTTCCTCCAGACGAAGTTCGAGACTTAGATTTTGCGAATGATGCTTGCAAAGCATTACATAGTTTTGTTGAATTGATTAAAAGTGGAAATATCATCTCCAAAGAACCTATGAAGTATTTTATTTTCAAGTTCTGAATCACAAGTGCAATGCATTATTAAAATATAACTAAAAGCAGAAATTTTGCTAAATTTCAACCAGTATGTACAGTAATTATTGCTTGTCTCATATATTTTATGCTAATTGTTGATGGTTTACAGTGTTACTATACAGTTGATAACAGAATGCATATATTTTGTGACTAATCAACTGAATCATATGGTTGATCCAATTAAAATTGTTGATTTCAAGCCATTAAGGGATCGACAAAAATTGCTTCGAGAACAAGGTGTCCTTGACCAGGTAACACTTTTTTATTCTTCATTTGACTTTCTTTCACGCTAAGAGCATACTGAATAAATTTTCAAAAATTTCATTTTTAGACGTAGTTGAATATTTTATCTGAATTTATGGTGTACATTAATATTTTCGTAATAAAATTGGCTAAGTAAAAATATTCACTTATCAAACAAAATGCTACAGTGAAGAAAAATCTCACTATCGTTTCCAGCTTTTTAGTTTATTTTTGTTTAGCTTCATGCAACTATTATGCTTGCTCACTTTATATGTTGTATAGACAATTTGTTGCAGATTTTTGCTTTGTTACGAGTACCATTTTTGTCTAGAAATGGAAATGATTCAAAACCTTTGTTAGATTCACCACGTATGCTCAGTGATCGGGGAAATGAAGTTTTGAAACGGATTTTTCAGCTTTGTTATTCATTACTTCGGTAAATAATAATTATCCTACCTTTGCTTTCAATTTTTGAAGTTGAACAATATACCAAGAAAATATTAGAGCCATATTTATTGTTTACATTTGGTGTTGTACGAAATACGACCTTCGATGTTGCTAACGTATTTTCCATCAACAAATATTTATATTCATAAGCGTTGTTAATTATTATTTAATTCTAGGTACTCTCAAGTAGGTTATCGGAAAAACCAAGAGCATTTAGCAGAAAATTTTGGTCAAATACAAGAACAAATTGGATTTGATTTGCTTGCAGAAGACACAATGACTGCTGTCCTTCATAATAATTCAAAACTTTTAGAAAAGTATGTAAAAAATCCGCATGTAGAACGTTTTGTAAAACTTGTTCGGGACAACAAATCTGGTAGGTATGTTGTATCAATTTTTTTACATGATCAATCCTTATTTTGAAATAGTACAAGTAATAACTGGTCTATTTTTCTATTTTGTTAGAATGCAGTTATGTTTCAGATAAAACTTTAACAATAGCTTTCTTATTAGTTTCTATTTTTGTCTTTTTATTGTTTGAATAAAGACAATTAATTAAAACGAGTGCACAGACTGCTAATATAAGGCCTTGATTTACAGATTTTCATGTTAAGGTTTTTGGATTATCTCGCTGATCTTTGTGTTTGTCGTGGCGAAGCA